CTGGATAGATGCTGGTTATACTCGACGACTTCTCGTCTCGATCCTCACGGTCGACTCTTCCGCCGAGTTGCTTCGATGTCTGGTTTTCGCGCTTGCGCATGCGCGGTTTCTCGATTCTATTGAGTCTTCTGCTCAAGAGCAGCGGCTAGCCTGTGTATACTTGCAGCTCGAGAGAACTTCTTTTCTTTCTCTTTTTTGTTTCCTCTTTTTTTTCTTTTGGAGGGAATTTTAATTGTGCCACTGAATATATAGGTCGATTCAAACAGAAACTATGGAAACCAGGAGAGACGAAGATACTTTCGAGAAAGCCGGATTTGATCAAGGATAAAATATGCTTTTTCCGTTATCTTTTTCTTATATCGTTGCATAAAGTTTGTGTTTTCTCTAAAATCTCTAGAATCGTTTAATTTTTGAATAAATATTTTTAATAATCGTTTATTATAATAATCGTAACTTTTATGATTTTTTCGGATCTTGATTAGATTTTTTGTGAGGTTAGAATCGTAATGTCGATGAAAAGAAAATTGTATATTTTTATTCATGTATAAAGAATGTTGTTTTTGAATGACTGATATATACTATAAATTATTATTATAAAATAATATTTGTTACTAAATTCTACAAATTTAATAATATTTAATAATATTAAATCGAATAATTTAATTTTTCAGTTTAAATAAGCATTATAATTAAGATATTCATAGACTCATGAATAAAAATATATTTTTCAAGATAAAAGGTAGGCAAATAGACTTCCTTATTCTATATCATAATTTTTCTCACTCAATATTTTTAATCGTCCAGTCAAATTTAATAAAATTATATAGTTTAGATTGCAAATAATCGGTTTTATTTCCAGGTTTCTTGAAGTTCGATCAGTGCTTGAATCCGCGACGCAGAAAACGCATGCTTACGCAACGATCGCTTACTTATTTAATAAAACAAAGTTACGACTAGTATCGAGCAGTAATAGCACGCTCCAGGGAATGCTACTGTTGTTCACCCGTCCAATGGCGAGAGAAGTTGACACAGCCGCTCGTTTATCCACCAGGCGTGAACGAGTCTACCACGTGTATGCAAAAGTTCTCTCGGAGTCCTTGCATAGTACGCATCGAGAACCAGGACACCTCAAAGGCTAATAATCTATGCGTAGTGGACAGTTACGAGCCGGTGTTATTCGAACCGTACCTTTCGGTTTTAACCTATGTTAATCCAACATTTGGCCCAACTGTCTCTCGACTAACGGTCATACGTTGACTTAGGTCTGGTGTCTAACGAGGCCAACCTTATGTCCAAGTTGTTATTTTATAAGATATATTTCTGTTCACGAATTATGGATTAGATAATAAATTTTATAAGAAATTGTGAGTTTATGTTATAACTATGAAAGGCAATGTTTACTGGCTGTTAATATTATAAGGAAAATTGATTATGATTATACTATTGTTGTTACTAAAATAGATATGAGTATACGTAAGTATTTTATGAATAGTAATAATGACATGAGAATAAAAGTAAATAGTTGAAACTATAATTAACTAACTGTATTGATAAGTAGTTTCATTATATACCTTTGTTTATAAGTATGTGGATTTTGCTGGTAATTTTAACATTGGAATTACCAAACCAAAATTATGTTTTTGCAATTATTAATTGCAAAATATACTTTCGATAAAAATTAATGATTTCATAACATTCTTTAAATAAATGTTGTGGTTAAGAAAAATGTCCACATATTTATAAACTAATAAATATCTACTGACTTATAAACAGAAGCATGTCTATATTAAACATTACAGTCATTGAAAAATCTGAAAGCAGAAGACTGAAGTGGTTAGTAGAAACTCTAGTCCAAGGAGAATGATGATATGCGATCACGCAACCGCGGATACTCTCGTTCGCCCACAAGGTACTAACTGCGCGGCGAGTTAAAGCGGAAGTAGCGTTGAAAGGACGCGTTCGATTCGCGTACACCCACCATGACTATCCTAACACGTTAGGACAAAATTTAGAACCATTCAAAAACGTTTTAAGACTTTCACGACTCGAGTTAATGCAATCATTTTAACTTCAAACTTCCTATATTCTGCCAGCATTAAAATTAGAGGTCAAAAAACAACTGTGCAACTAAAATCCTACATTGATCTTTCAAAAATGTTTCATAAATATATTATTAACATCTATATTTCAATCAATAATTGCAACTTCGAAAAATATGTCAATTTCAATAAATATTCTTTTTCGATTGAAATTCGAATTCTTAAATTGCAGCGATTACACTCGAAAATGAAACGAGAAATACGGATCTCGCGAGATACCTCTATCGATTTAAAATCGAGGACATGATTCGAGCGCATAAATTTGACGGAGACACGCCGCAGTTCGATTCACGAAGCAGGTGTAGCTCGGTCTAGGATTCAATCTCTGCCAATGCCCTCCCTCTACCATGCCACTTTCTACTTTCACGTCTGTTCGATATACACAATATCTGCATAATACACGGTTTGGCGAATGCGCATCGAAGAGGATTCGACGTGATCCTGTCGTGAAGAGGAGAGGATGATAAAAAGAAGGTGTTCCAGGAAACACGACCGATCTCTGCTGCATTCAGAAACATTTCTCTATCCTTGCTCTGGCCGCCGATCACGAGAGAGCCGTCTGATCCTTTCTCGCCGCGAGTTTCTTCGAGGCGATGGCCCCTCTACGGGGTGACCCGATCTCTCGAGCGCCGCGACGAACAGGTTAAAGTAGCTCCTGAGGCGTGTGTATGTAAGTAAGCAAGTACTTATGTACGTACGAGCAGCCTACCACTCGGCCTACCAGCCGTATTATTACGTGTCGCTTTGCGGACCTTACGGCTCCCGTGTGCGCGCATGTAACAGGTTCCAGCCGCATGCAATGGTCGGCAAACTGCTCGCGGAAAGAATCGGAAAGAAATGACTTATGTGCGAGTTAATTTGAATCGAATAACGTTCAATTTTGAGAAGATTAACATTGAAGAAAATTTTGAATTTCTTAGTAAAAATTATTTAAAATTTTTCCTATATAAGAATTGATTAAATAATCTTTTTTTTGTTATATATTGAAAGATTTATAACAATGATAATATTATAGAATGACAACTGAGATATAATATTGAATTTTGTTTAACGCTAGGCTTTCATTTAGAAAACATAAATTAATGAATAATACGTAATACTCAATATTCTCTCTCTACATTCCCGTTGTCACAACAAATACCACAGTTCGACCGCAATTTCTATGATTCATGTACCAATTTATATTCTTTCAGCGCTTGGTCAAGAGGATTTTTAAACCTACCCCCAATGGATACCATTGACAGAGTTTGAAAAGTACTATAGTGGAAGGGTTGCACAACGCATATGGTTAATATTGACGAAGTCAAGTCCCAATGAAAAGCCAAGATTGAAAAGCAGAAGGTATACAGCCGACTGTACTCTTCTACCTGAATATTTCTTCCTGAGGAAAAAAAAGATTGATCGGGAACCGAGAAGGGAGCTACGACAAATTAACTACGCACGATCCTGAGAGATAGCCGATATCGGTACCAGAGTATAGCGGATCCTGTGTACTGGAAGGCATGTGTGTGTTGTACCGTGCAAGTCGGTCCTTATACGGGTCTCGACACGAAGTTGGCTCTCCCTCGAGCAAAAAGAACCCTTCATGCCTTGGCACGACTTCGTACCACGTTTTCGATGGACCGTCGAATACGCATGATACCGTGCATCCTGTGTTTCTATTTTTGAAACTATGGCTAATAATGGATATTCGAATTTCAACTTTGAAATGATTCGAAATTTTAAGACCATGAAGATTTAAAGTAGTGATTTCGAATATATATTTTCGTCATTTGAAATGATTGGAAATGAATTCCATCAGTAACTATGGCCGATTGAATATTATTACCAGTCTTGGATGCAAAGTGCGAATAGTTCGAGCCTCGAGCTACGTAGATTCTAGGAAGAATCTAGTGGTAATCGCCACGATGGAATATTCAACTTTTGAACGATGATCGAATTGATTATGGATAAGATCAATGTCGAACAGTGATGACCTATATAATTCTATGGACTCGCTTCTTTATTACAAGCCACCGCAGTAGAAGAAGCTGATCGAAGCTCTTTCGAACCCATTAATTACCTCTAGCGTCACAATAGCTACCTGCACCTTCTAGGCAGGTAAGCTTCGACTAATACTCGACTTTCTTGTTCCTTCGAATCATCAACACGCGATTCTCTGGTCAAAGATCAACGCTAGTATATGATCTCTAACATTATAGGGTAAGAGAAGTTAATACTATACTATGATCGGACTAAATGCATACGTATTTCTAATATTCTGGTTAGCACTTGCATATTGGCTTCTTGGATTCACAAATTAAAGTTTTGAAAGTCACATTTTTTTGGAGAAATCCGAATCTGAAAAAATGCACCGTGTGAAATGTTGGAAATAATTTAAGAGAAAGATAAACCGCGCATAAAATCGTAGCAATTAATCAAATGGTTTTTTACGTCCAATGCAATAAAATATCGAGGATGTCGATTGAAAAGGCTCGCAAAAATGGCGGAACATCTGCCGGCAGGGAGCAATGATTTTCGAGAAGAGCGATTCGCGATTAAAAATGACGCATTCGTGGCGAGGTACTCGTTTAATTACCGATGCTCGTTCCAGCGTGGGTTCTCCGGCTTCGTTGCACCGCCACGGGCCCGATCCCGGTCCGCCCACCCGCATCCGCCACACTGGCCTACGTGGAAAGGTGCGATAAACACACCTTTGTAAGAGTACGTAGTACGTAACCGCTGTCCACCGATCTGCGTCGCTCTTTAGCTCCGCGTTTTTTCCGTATACCATTCGACTTTCGCCGTTTAACGCGGTACTTGATCCTTTTCACTCGATATTCAACAAACAATATTGAATCTGAACTGAAATTGAATGGAGATAGATAAAATAGATTATTTTATAAAAAAAATATTCTCTTATAAAGTTTCCTCTCACGTAAGAAATTTATAATTTTTTTATAGAATTTCCTTTGGTATAAAAATTTAAGATTCCTTTGAAAAGTTCCCTTTGACAATTTCCCTTTAATAAGAGAATTTCATTTTAAGTTCTTTTATAGATTTTCTTTTAGGATACAAATTTCACTTTCAAACATTACCAATTACATTATTAAAATCTCTCTTTATTGAAAGATCTTTATTTTTTTTTGGATAGAATTTAATGATCGAAAAAATTCCAAAGTTTTCTTCGGTTCAAAGAAATTTCAAAAGCTCTCTTATAAAATTCTTAAAAGAATTTCGATTTAAAGTTCTTCCTCCCTCTCTCCCTCGAAAGAGTTTCATTTTAGTGTTCCCTCATAGACGAGTTATTTATAGAGTTTAATTATAGATGGACAGTAGCAGAAAGGTTTCGAGCGAATGAAAACAATGCGTGATTACACTTCGAACGCAAAAGTGTGAAAAGTATTTATAGCGTGGCGGGCACGATGTCGGACAGCATGCCGAAGGGCCCGATGAGAGGAAATTATTCGCGTTACTTCGAGCTCTCTGCCGACGCATTAGGTACAATTGGATGCGTGGGCAATGTTAAACGTTAAATCGTTCGTCACGATAGGAGACGATGCGACGAGATTGCTCGCCCACGTACGAATTTCCTGCGGCACCGATCCGGTGTACTTTATTCGGGTCTAGGTAGAGGAGGATCACCGGCCGATCAATGGCGATTAAACGGTGGTCGTTACGGTGTCTCGTTTCTACCGAGTTGAAATTGCTCCTGCAGAATCGTCCGTATCGATGACCGTGAATTGAAATAAAATTGGTGTTCTACTACGTGTACACTTACTACGAAAGAAGGGAAAATACAGAAAGATGTTTAATCGAGTATCTTTTGTTCCTGTGATTTCACGTTGATTAAAGATATTTTATTTTATACGATAAATGATAGTTATTGAGACGATAAATTTTTAAAACTATGCTTTCGATTCGTTAATCAAAATTCGTTAAAAGAACAGTTGAATAATAAATTATTCATTGATTTAATATTGTTTCAATATCACTTCTCATATGACATTTCCGATATACTCCAAAGCTATATTCGATAATCAAAAATAAAAAAAGTATATTCAAATCATTTATACATCTATAAATATCAAAAAAAAAATATTATTCTATATTTCTATTATAGATTCCAAATAATAAAATGGATTAAACAATACTCGTGTAACTTCAATTTAAATTAATACAATTTCTCCAAACAAAGCAAGTGATCTAATACTTTCGATTGCCAATGCACATCTTCGTTAATTATCGCGCGAGTACACGTTAAAACAAACGATACTCGTTGTACTTCACACGAAACCGGCCGTGTTTCCTCTGTATGGTGTTACAGTACAAAGAACGAAGATAATATTTCGGGGCACGAATTTACAGAAATTTACGACCGGTTCTTTCCTCTCTCTCTCTCTCTTTCTCTCTCTCTCGACTCCAGGCCCTATCTTCCGAAATGAATCTCCGCCGCGTTGCACCGCCTGTGACCTTAACGCTGGTGAAACCGATTTGATGGATTCGGGGTACGAGGAGATCTGGTGGTAAAAAAAAAAAAAAAAATTTCTATGCCCCACAGAGAAGATTCCACGGCGTCTACGATCTTCCCAGGGCGACTACCTGTCGAGTGACGTGGCTCAGCCGCATTTTTTCCCTCCCCCTTTTCTCGTCATTAACCCCCTCGCGCGGACTCACCCCTTCTGCGGCGAATTCTTTCGTGGAATCCGTACCAACTCCACATTCGAAATTCTTCCCGTCGTGGAATCTTTGTCTTTGTGGAATGAAACGTCTCGTTTCGGCCGGGAGACGGTCGAAAACTCGGTCCTCGAATGCGTTCGACTTTCACGTGTATTAACAGCTCGGCGAGGATAAAAAATAAAAAAACGATGCGTAGAGGAGAAATCTTCGTTGATGGAGATCTTCATTGATATGTTGTAAAACAGGAAATTGAAGCTAAAACGTGTACGTGTTGTCTTTGGACGTGTCCGTGTATACGACGACAAGGAATTAGAATTAAGGAATTTGTTGGCATGTCTGAAAAGATATTTTGCGAGCTATTATAAATTGAAAAAAAGTGTAATCTATCGACTTCAATATCAAAAATAATCAAGACAATTTGCACGAATATTCAATCGACCACTCAATTACATTATATATAGCAACTTTTCGTAACTCTTCTCCAAACGCAGCGTTACGAAACTATTCCAGGATGTGAGATCAAAAGGCACACAATGTTCTTCCTAAACGAGGAATCATTTAACGAGCCACGACAAACATTGAAACCGCGCAAAAATAGAAAGAAGGAGGATAGATAAGTCTTCTTTTTTTAGGGAATAAAAGGCGTGAAAAGTTATTCAAAAATAAAAAAAAAAATACGAAGCAAATGGGCGACGAACGTATATGGTTGCTACGTGTGCCGCATTAATATCTCCCTTCGACCCGTAGGATACTAATTACCATTGCCAAACGCGAGGTTAAAGGCATCGTTACACGTTTCGTGCGCGCGTGTTTCAGGAAGAAATAACACCTCATCGTTTTTAACGTCAACCTTGCGAACGAATACGCTCAGCTCGCGCCGAGGTTGAATTATAACCTCTGAGCACCGTGCGTGCCTGGAGGTTGGCTCGAACGATCCTCGACGGAGGACTTGGAGGAGAGAACGTAGCCGACAGGGGCCGAATTTATTTAAATTCTCGCGAATTACGATCGTTAAACGATTTCTGGTGTCCTCGATCGATAAAAGTATCCTCGCTTAGTAGAAATTCCGCTTCTTTACGATCGTGGGGGCGAGGAGACGATAATTGTCGAAGGGATGGGTAAAAACCCGTGGCGAATTTTTATTTTACTGGGAAATTCGAGTTGTAACGAAGAAAGAATACACCCGAGCCTATCTTTTCTTCATCCTCTTAGCACCGACAATCGGTTAAATTACAGTCTTACCGCTAGTGGAAAATATTTCGCACTATCATAAATTCGAGTTCCTTGACTTGAGATGTCCTTTCAACCTTTCATTCAAAGTCTCAAAATTTTTCTACAAATCCTCTCTCTGAAAGAGATATTAATATTAACTGTTGGTAATTGGTTTCGATACAACGAGATACATACAAAATTCGAAGAAACTTTCGACTGATTCACAGACTACCAGATCTCGCACGAATAATCTCGTGGACCCGGTGAAATACATACCGTGGAATCGGCAGACCAATAACGCGGATACCTAGTCCGCCCACATGGCCACTGCCACAAATCCAAATTTACACACACGTACACTCGATCCTCTGGAACGAGTACGAGTACGTAATTTCGCGTATTCTCGTGGTCCACGGTTGAAACGAACGAAGGCGTCGAGGGGTCGGAAGAGGCAGAAACGAAGAAGGAAACGAGACACCGGTTTTCCAGCGGTGTTGCATTCATGAGGCCGAATGAACGGACGGCCGTTGCACGCTCGAACACGAATTAAGCTTGTCCCCGAGCGTAAACGCGCGGCTACACGGGGCCTGGACGTGTCCGCTCGCGATTTACACTGAATGGCCTCCTGTCACGTGGGTGTATGAACGTCGATACACGCTCGATCGGGACGAATTAAGGCGTCTCACGTCCAATTTCACGGGACGAAGATCTTCTTCCGAGGGATTTCGATTCTTCTTCCCCTCCACGCGTGAAACCTCTGTTTGGTACCCTCGTGGACCTGGCTTTCAGACTTTCACGCCTTCCCTTGTCGACGAGTCCTCATTTGCAATACAATGCACGGGGAAGCGCGTGCGCGACACACGAGGATCGACATCGGATATCTGGTTTGACTCGTGACGACGGCGGCCAGGGATGAGTGACAATGAGGAGAGACAATGATCTTGACGCGAAAAATGTAATTAGAAAGTTTTCTGTATACGTGGACAATCCTTATCCTGTGATCGCGACGATATAATATTTCAGGGGATGACTGGAATTTTGATCAAGAGAATGTTTATATCAATTTTAAATTATGATTATGAAATGCGTAGTATGAAAATGATTAACTACATTTTTTTTTCATTTTTTGTTTCATATTGTATAAAATTGGTTGGAAGATAGGTTCGATTTTATCGTAAGAGAGTATCATATGTCTCCTAATTGATAAATAGATCTGCGGTCTGGACACGTCATTTTCAAAGACCACCTAATGCCTCTACATTATCTCCGTATTTAAAACAATCAAAACAATCTCAGAATATAATCAAACGAATTCTAATCTATACAATTTAGAATTGTACGCCTACCGTCCCTTCGATCGGAGACAGATTGACGTCGCTCGTACAACGCGTTCGTTCCACTACTTTTTATACCCCTCCATTATTTATCGACTTAACAACCTCGATTCCGAATTAATTACAGCGTTATGGGGTATCGTAAAATCCGCGAAAGGACCACCAAAAGCGTGGAAACGTTTACTGGTCGAAGGAAGTGAAGAAAAAAATGGAAGATGAGACGAAGAGAATATTCGTACGCGAAAACCTCTCTCGCAGAGGTACGCGTGCGCTCGCCCACGCTCGCTCCTACACGCCGCGCCGCCGCTCCTTCCACGCACGCTCGTTCGCTCAGACATACTCGCTGCCTCGGTTCATTCAGTCGTTCGAATCCTTCTTTCATTCAAGGCCCGATACACTTCGATCGAGGCACGAGGCCGCCTCGTATAGATAGGCACGCGTGTGCACGTGCACCCGTGACCGTTGAACGAACGAGTGCACGAACTGACTATATCTATATGACAATAATTTGTCCTTCTTTGTGTTATAAGATACAAACACTCGATGAATATTTTTCTAGTTCGATTCTTTCCGCCGAGCGGTTCGAATGATTGCCGCTAGATGGCTCGCCGATTTTACTTTCTCGCAAGTGATTGGCCTGTTTTGCATACATTAATTTTGAATTATAACAAGTATT